GTTTGATCCCGGATTTTCACCATCTCAAACATATGCATTGTGTTATGGTGAGAATCTACAAACCACAAGGGAAAAAGTAAGGATTTCTAGCCATAGAAGGGCATAGAATCCGAAGAGTAGAGAAGAACCATGAAGAAGAGGAAGTAAAATCATGAAACTATGAGGGAGGATTGTGTTGTTTACCTTGGTTTTGATCTTGAGAGAAGCAAGAACACTTCAAGACCTTCTCAATTTCGAAATTATGGCAGAGAATGGAGGATTTTCTGATGTGTAGGAGTGGTCTTGGAAGTGGGAGAGTTTTCTTGGAGAAGGAGTGTGAGATGGAGTGTGTAGGTGGTTCAAATGAGGTGTAATGATGGGTTTTAAGGCATGGGGGAGAGGGAAAAGCCTAATGGACGAAAATTTAAGAGGGATATGGTATTTTTATTGGTATTTGATCAAATAATAAAAGCCTCCCTTGAATTTTTATAAATCTAGATTTTAAATTTTATAAAACTCAAACATTTTCATAATCTCCTAAGGTTTTAATTATTGGATTTTGTTGAGGTATTTACACTTGGTAATGACTTCCAAAAATTATATTTGTTGAATTAATTTATATAATGGTAACCTATTATTTAATTTTTATAAAAATCAATTTATCATATTTCAACAATTCTAACAAGGATTCATAATATGTGATTGTAAGAATTTGATATTCTTGGATTTTACTTTTGGTTCACATTTCGAATCATGAAGTGTATGAATTTGTCATCAACTTTATAGTTGGTTCATATTATGATCTAATTTTTGTTCATATTAGCTTGTGATACTTAACCTTGTTAAGCATCAATTTGTTCCAATATGAAATTTTTAGGGTTAATAACCTACCCTTGAGTTGTAATCTATCGAACATAGTTTTATGTTTAGACTTAAGGTTCAGCTTTGGCACTTTACCACTCAGTTGGTTCCTTTACATATCAATGTGATCGTTCAATACAACTAAGGTACACTACTTGTTTCGAGGGATCTATTAAGTCACAAACCTAGTTCAACTTGTAACTATAGAGCCAAGTTAAGTGCACACAAGGAAATGACAAGGTTCTAGATGAGTATTGACCTGAATTTTGGTGGATGTCACAATGAAGAGAATTCCCATTTGATACATTAACAAGGTTCATGATAACAAGTTTGCAAATACAACATGCATGACAAATAGAAGAAAAATTAAGTTAAAAGTAGGGTTATTAGAAGAAAGGCTATTTTTTTATAAACTCGAGATGTGGGATTTGGAAATGATTATCGGATTATTTCAAATAAAGTTTTATTGTATAGGTTTAGCTGTTTAGGGGTTATAACTTATAAATATCCAAGAAATGAATATCTGATTCTAATTATTCATGAAATCATTTTCAAATTGCATATGTACATAAGCACTAGAAAATACAAGTTCATTTTAGAGTTCACAGGTTTCATGCTAAAGTTAGAGACATTTCAGTCAAGCAACTATTTTTTTATGTTGGCCTTCAGTCCAAATGCCATCTCCTGATTAAATAAAATAAAAGCAGAAATAGATAGTAAATAATAATATAAGCAATATGATGTTGGTAAAGTTAAAGAAGAAAAGGGGAGCAAAGGCAAGAGGTGTATTACATGAAGCTTGGTGTGAAAAGCTTCATAATAACAGAGTCTTCAAATACAGGGCCATTTGGGATAACATACATACATCTTTGCATATTCTTCACCACCACACAACAGCTATGATAAGTACTTCCTGCTTTAACCTTGATTCAAATGAAATTTATTAAAGATCAAGATCAATCTTTATCTTGGTAAGAATGATAAAATAGTGAGTCTTATATAATTACTCAAGCGTTAGAATACAAATGAACAGGGTCAACTGAGATGTAACTGAATTAGCTAAAATACATTCCCAAATAGATAGATATTGCCAACATTAGAACCAGAAAACTCCTCATATGCATCGAGCATGTAGAAAGGAAGAGATCCATCAAGTTCCACAACAAATTGTGGTTTTTCATTAGAATATACACCGGGACCGATCTCAGCATTCAAATCAGAGCTTATGTTCGTCTACAATCCTGCTGTTGCACTGAAAGTTGGATCCTTTTCCACTTTAATTTAGCATTTAAAGTCCAACTGTCGGCCTCCTTCATCACTGGCTCAACTTTCAGTTCGCTATTATCCTTAGATGATTTAACTTCACTTTCCACCACCGGTGGCTCCTCTAAAACACCCAAATCTGTTTCATTTTTAGGAAATTCTAGCACTTCCTTCCCTTCTTCTATTACATCGTGTTTATGCAAACTATTTGACGATGGAGTATTCACAGCCACCACACTAGGAAATCTCAAAAGACCAAAACTTGTAGTAAGACGAAATTGTATACAGATCGAGCATAGATTGGTATGTATCTCTTTAAAATCTGCTTCCCCATCACGGCTAATCCCGCCGCCTTGTAAAGCGCTCCAGTCGCTAATCCAGCCACCACTCTCCAGTAGCTAATCCATCCACCATGTATTTCATTCCGATTAACCCTAAGTTTCATGGTGTCTCTAGCCTCAGAATCCTTCACGCCCTCTACTAAACCCTTCCCGACGCCAACTACTGCGCCGCTGAGGTAACCGATGCCGATGTAGTATATCAGGTTTTCGCCCCATGACCTTCGTTGAGCGATAGATTCCACTTGAAAGAGGTATTCAGGAGATGTAGGAAGTTTGTACGGGGTTTGTGCGGTGACTCTAAGATCTTGGTAAGGGTTGAATAGTCGACGATTGTCATGGTGGTCGTCGTTTTCGTTGTGATTTGAAGATCACGGTTGGTAAGACATGTCGTAGTTAGGGCTACGATTAGGGTTTCGATATTTCAAGAATCTAATTCCAAAGGAGAGAGAGAGAGAAAGGGGAAAGAGAGAGAGAGAGAGAGAGAGAGAGAGAGAGAGAGAGAGAAAGAGAGAGAGAGATTGAGTGCAGAGGTAGAGGAAGACGAACTGCTTAAAAGATTATTAGGGTTTTTTTGGTAGAGGATTTTAGAAGGAGAAGAAGGAGATGCATCAGGCGGGGTGTTTAAATAGAGACCACGCCTTCCTTAAAAAAATATAAAGCGACACATTTACATGACACACTTTTTATGATTGGTGCCCTCCGTGTTTTTTTTTGTTGGACACTAGTTTTAGGGCACGTAAAAAGGCGTGTCCTCTATCCTTCAAATTCTAGAAAACTGACATTATTTTTTAGGGCACGCACAAATGCGTATCCTCTATCAGCGTGTGTCATTGTTTGTGCGTCATTAAAGGGCTGTTTTCTAGCAGTGTGTGTTCTAGGATTGTGTTTTCGGTTTGATGCTTTACATGGGAGGGTTTTCGGTTTAGAGATCGCCCACTAAGGGTGATTTCAGTCTTGGGGGGGGGGGATTTTGTTAATGTGTGATTTTGTTTATAGGATGTTGATTTTCAAGGTTAATTACGACAAGGTTTTCTAAGTATATATTATATTAACTTATACAAACAATGCCCTCTTGGTTTGTAATATTTTATTGCAATAAGGCTACATAGTGAATTTATTTGTACATGGTTACAATTTAGGCTTTACTCGACCCAAATTTGCTAGTTGTCACATCATCCCCCGTTAGAGGGAATTTGGACCCGAAATTATTTTTAGGGTGAGTATTCAAGAGCTAGAGAAAGTTGAGGTTACTTCTGCTTCATTTGATATTCCCGCTCCCAAGTGAATTCGGGTCCCCGCTTGGCGTTCCAACGGACCTTTACAATTGGTATACGGCTCTGTTTTGTCCTTTTGACTTCCTTGTCCATGATTTCAACAGGTTCCTCTATGAAGTGTAGACTCTTGTTTACCTAGATTTCATCGTGTGGGACTACAAGAGTTTCATCGGATAGGCACTTCTTTAGGTTGGACACATGGAAGACGGGATGTACATTGCTGAGTTCCTATGGCAGTCGAAGCTTGTAGGGCACCGGGCCGATCCTAGAAAGGATCTCGAATGGCTCGATATACCTCGGATTTAGCTTCCCATGTTTGCCAAAGCGTATCATCTCCTTCCGGGGCGAGACCTTCAACATTACGCGGTCACCGAACTGTTAGATATTAAAATGTTTGACAGATGAATTTTTAATTTTGACCTATTAGTTTTAGGGTTTTTCAGATTTTAAACCCTAGCACTATAAATAGTTTAGGTCGTTTTTCATTTTGTGTGAGCCTCCTTTTTACAATATTTTTGTTTTTTACTGTACACAGAGAAAGCGAGAGTTCATTTTTTTTCATGTGAGGTTTTTCATTGTAATCAGATCTGATGATCATATGAATGCAGAAATATTTCACTGATTTTTCATTTATATGGGATTGATTCATCTACTGTTCTTAATTTCCGCATTGTCATTTCATATTGTGTGAATCTGGGTTCCAACAATTGGTATCAGAGACTGATCTTGAACAATCATCTGTTCTTTCAAGTTTTAAAGATGAGAGGTGACATATTTTTGTACTTGAATCTCTCTCACCAATCTGGTGTAATTTCTTCTGTTATCCATTGATTTGCACTAAAAAATTGTTATATCTATATCAGATCTGAAAGATTTGTGAAGAAATATCCTAAATCTGAAGGGTTTTTGAAGATTTGTTGAATACGTTTTTCCATATCTGTATTTCTCACATCAGATCTACACTTATTCTCTTTGGAATCCGTTTTTACTTAAGATTCTTGTTCAGATCTGAGTTTTATCATGATTTCAATATGTGGCTATCCACATTTTTATCAAGAAAGTCATCCACATTTGTTTAAAGAGATATGGTATCCTGAAAGAAGTGCCCGTTTCCCTCAAGGTGTAGTTTGTAGTCCTTTAGATTTATATAGTGAAATGTCGATAGAATGGATTAATTATGATACAAAGGTATCATATGATAAAAATACATTGAATTATCATCCTATACACACTGATCAGTTGTTGATGTCTAATCTAACTGAAATCAAAGATATTGAAGAAAAAGAGAAAGAAGAAGTTGTTAAAAATGCTCCAACTTCAGATGAAGATCCCCAAGTAAAAATGGTTGAAAAATCCCCAGAAATAGAGAAGGAGAAAGATGTTGATGATCCATGTTCTCCGAATGTTGTTGAAGATTCCTGCATCAAAGTTCATGATGTTATACCTGAAAAGAAAGAAGATATTGTTAAGGTTCTTCATATTGGTGATACATCAAAGAGAATACCTCCTGATATTTCATCCAGGTCAAGTAATTCTTTTGATGGGATGAAACCTTACAGAAAACCAGTGATTTATGAAGACATGGTTTACCAAAATCGAAAATCAGGTGTATCAATAAGTTGTGAGAACCGTTTCAGGAAGCCTTATGTGTGTTCATGGACTAGAAATTCATTCTACAAGGCAAGATGCAAGAAGTTCAAAAAGAAAAAGGGAAAACCTAAGCAAATGTGGGTTCCAAAGAATAGATCCCCTGAACATGAAACCAAGAAAAACACAGAAGTTAGAAAAAGGTCTAATAAGAAGTTTCATGAAAAAAGATATCTGAAAAAGAAGAGGACTCAACAACCTCAATTTTGGTTGAATGATATGATGAAGTTTGTTAACTCATTTTCCAGAAGTTCAAAGACTCCAGTGATCCATATTATCTTTGAAGATAACATTGTTTGGAGTAATCATTTTGGTGAGATGTTTTCAAAAGATCAAAAGTTTTTCCAAACCAACTCTCCAACTCTCAAACAATTTTGGGTTTCTAAAGTGTCTTGCTAAGTGCCAAGAAGATCTAAGAGAGAAAAAGTTTCAAGTTATATTCAAAGCTATCTCAAGAAAGGTATTTTTTTTTTTTAAAAATGGTCAACAATTTAGGGGAGATATTGTTGAACGTAAAATTATAATTTGTAAATGGAAATAGTTTTACCATGGATGAAAAGAGAATCGGAGATGGTCACATATGGATATTAAAAGGAGTTTCATGTATAGTCTTTATTTTTTAAAAGAAAATAAATTGAAGAAAGTATATGGGAAAGATGAAAATAGAAGCATAAATTGATGCGATAAATGTCAAATGGGTATTATTGTTCAAGAAGAGTTACTCCAGAGTTTACTTGGAAAAGGAGAAAACAAAATTGAACGGAGTAATGATATTTAATGGCTCTAAAGGACAATTAAAGCATGTGTGGGAGTTATGAATTTAATTCAATTCTTTCTATCAGGACGTTTGAAGTATGCATGGGATATAAATTCTTATTTTGTTCAAGCCTTCAAGGTATTATTAATTTGTACAATAGAATGGTCATTGTGATGTTGACAAAACATGGGGCATGGCTAAAGTTTGTGGTCACGTGGGGCTACTTATTCATCAAAGAAGGAATGGTCATATTTGAGTATATTAAACCTGCAAAAGGTACGACATGGGCTGTCACAATATCACTCTTTGTGTGTACGAAATTAAAAAAAAAAAAAACTAAAAAAGTGGGTTAGGCCTCGTACCGTAGCAGGTGTCGGGTAATGTCCGGGTCAAAGAGGCTACTTGGTCCATGGTTCTTTATCCATTTTTCTTTCTTTTTTAATAATGCTTTTATCTAGCGGATAAAATTTTTATTTTTTACTCCGAAGATCTTGTTATTATCCGGTGGTTTCTCATTTTACTTGACGGATCCGAACCATTACGCAGTGGATTTTAGCTTTATATAGAAGATTCTTTGTTCTTGGATAGAATTTTGTGAAGACCTTGTGCAGACATCCAGGGGAGACCGGTGTTTAAAATCCACATATTTTTTTTATTATTTTTTAATTTTTTTTTATTCATCAGTCTAAACATTTAGGGGAGAATTGTTAGATATTAAAATGTTTGACAGATGAATTTTTAATTTTGACCTATTAGTTTTAGGGTTTTTTAGATTTTAAACCCTAGGACTATAAATAGTTTAGGTTGTTTTTCATTTTGTGTGAGCCTCCTTTTTACAATATTTTTGTTTTTTACTGTACACAGAGAAAGCGAGAGTTCATTTTTTTTAATGTGAGGTTTTTCATTGTAATCAGATCTGATGATCATATGAATGCAGAAATATTTCACTGATTTTTCATTTATATGAGATTGATTCATCTACTGTTCTTAATTTCTGCATTGTCATCTCATATTTTGTGAATCTGGGTTCCAACACGAACTGGAACTCCAAAGGTTTTCATCGCTTGTCTGCATAACTCTTTTGCCGATCCCGGGACGCCTTTAAACGTTCATGGATTTGGACGATTTTCTCCGTGGTTTCCCGTATGATTTTCGGGCCGGTGAGCGTGTTATCTGGTACTTGTCCGTTGGCCAGCTGCGTGTCACCCACCTCGGCCCAACACAGGGGTGATCTGCACTTGTGTCTGTAGAGGGTTTCGAATGGAGCAACCTTAATGCTGGTATGATAGCTGTTATTGTAGGAGAACTCGACTAGTGGAAAGTGGGTATCCCAGTCCATACCAAAGTCTATCACACATGCCCTCAACATGTCTTCCAGTTTCTGTATGGTTCTCTCACTCTGCCCGTGAGTCTGAGGGTGATAGGCGGTGCTCATATCAAGTTGGGTTCCCAAGGACTTCTGTAATGACTGCCAGAACCGTGAGGTGAACCTACTATCTCGGTCGGCGATAATAGATATTGGCACACCATGTAGTCGCACAATTTCCTTGATGTACGTCCTTGTTAGTTTTTCCATCTTGTAGGTCTCCTTTATTGGTAGGAAGTGTGTGGATTTGGTTAACCTATCAACGATCACCCAGATGGTGTCCAATCTGTCCTTCGTCTTGAGCAACTTGGTGATGAAGTCCATGGTTATCCGCTCCCACTTCCACTCGGTTATGTATGGTTTTTGGAGTAAACGCGAGGGCTTTTGATACTCTACCTTGACTTTGGCACAAGTCAGACACTTGCACACATAGGTAGCGATCTCTGCTTTCACGTTCGACCACCAATAAAGTTTCTTCAGCTCCTGATACATCTTGTCAAAAGCAGGATGAATGAAGCATTTTGTCTTGTGAGCCTCATTCATGACAATGTCTCTGTACCCACCGAACTTCGGTGTCCAGATCCGATCCATGAGATAGTAATCTCCGTCATCCTTGACCATAAAGTTCTTCTCCATTCCTCGCACGGCTTCTTTTATAACATTTTCGGGTTTCAAGGCTTCCAACTGAGCCTCCTTAATATGTGAAGACATGTGAGAGTGGATGGTCATGGTCAATGACTTTACTCGGCGGCCCGAGTATTCCTTTCGACTCAAGGCGTCTGCTACTACGTTGGCTTTTCACGGATGATAATAAATTTCACATTCGTAGTCGTTAATCAATTCAACCCATCGTCGTTATCTCATGTTAAGCTCTTTCTGATTGAGGATGTGTTGCAGACTCTTATGATCTGTGAAGATGGTGCATTTGGTACCGTACAGGTAGTGACTCCAAATATTCAGGGAAAATACCACTTCCCCTAATTGCAGGTCATGCGTAGTGTAGTTAACTTCAATGTCTTGAGTTGTCTTGAGGCATAGGCAATTACCTTTCCTCGTTGCATAAGTACACATCCCAAACCTTGTTTGGACGCATCATAGTAGACTACGAAGTCTTCGGTCCACTCCGGGAGGGACAGGATTGGAGCACTGCACAGAGCTTGCTTAAGTGTGTGGAAGGTGGCTTGTTGTTCTTTTCCCCAACTGAAAGTCACTCCCTTTTGTGTTAAGGTTGTGAGCGGCTTTGCGATCTTAGAGAAACTTTGTATAAATCTTCGGTAGTAGCCAGTAAGGCCCAAGAACTAGCGTATCTCCGTTGGTGTTCTTGGTGTTGCCCAGCTTGCAATCGCCTTGACCTCAGAAGGATCCACATGTATCCCTTCTTCGCTAACTACGTGCCCCAAGAAGTCAACCTTTCATATCCAAAACTCGCATATTGAGAATTTGGCGTATAGCTTTTCCGAACTTACTGTCTCCAAGACTTGTCGTAGATGTTGACGGTGTTCTGCCTTGCTTCGTGAATAAACTAGTATGTGATCAATGAATACTATCACGAATTTATCCAGGAAAGGTTAGAACACACAGTTCATTAGGTCCATGAACACTGCTGGCGCATTGGTTAGACCGAAGGGCATCACGACGAACTCGTAGTGGCCATACCGTGTTTTGAATGCCGTTTTAGGGATATCCTCATCTTGAATCTGCAACTGGTGGTATCCTGACCTTAGATCAATCTTTGAAAAGTAGCTCGACCCTTGTAGTTGGTCAAATAAGTCGTCGATTCGAGGCAGGGGTAACGGTTCTTGATAGTGAGCTTGTTCAGTTCTCGGTAGTCTATACACATGCAGAAGGACCCGTCCTTCTTTTTAACGAACAAGACCAGTGCTCCCCAGGGTGAGAAGCTCGTTCGGATAAATCCTTTGCTCAGCAGCTCTTTCAGTTGATTGGACAGTTCTTGCATTTCACCAGGTGCTAAGCGGTATGGGGATTTGGCTACGGGTGTGGCTCCAGGAATCAAGTCGATTCGGAACTTGACTTGGCATACTGGTGATATTCCTGGGAGGTCTTCTGGGAATGCACCGGGGAAGTTACAGACTTCATGAATATCCTTGATGTCCTTCACCTTTTGTTTCTTATCTATCACGTGGGCTAAGAAGGCGTGATATTCCTTACGTAAATACTTAATGCAAGAGATGATTTGTAAATTTTTGTCGGGTTTGTCGCCATAAATCACAAGGGACTCATTATTTGGTAGGTTAAGGCGAACAACCTTTTCGTAACACAAAATATCGGCATGGTGAGGACCTAACCAATACATACCAATGGTAACATCAAAGCTACTGATTGTGACCGACATCAGGTCGATTTGGAATGAGTGGTTATTTAGAGTTAGTATGCATCCTACAAATTTATCTTTTGTGATTTCTGTCTTTCCATTTGCCATTTCCACGGTGAATGTTTCATTTAGTGTTTGAGATTTCTGTTCGAGTAAGTGTTTAAATTGGTGGCTTACGAAGCTTTTCTCCGCACCACTATCAAATAGTATGCATGCATATGAGTTGTTTAGGAGGAACGTACCAGTTACCACAGTGGGATCCCTCATAGCTTCCTGATGGCCTATCGCTAGAACCCTCAACACACCTCCGTTGTTTCTGTTTTGTGCCTTTGGCCAGTTCTTCTTCAAATGGCTGGTGTCGCCGCAACCGTAGCATGCACGACTCAGCCCGGTATTAGCAGCTTGGGTGGTTTGTTGTGCTGGTGCTCTGCAGTAACGAGCGGTGTGCCCCTTCTTGTTGCAATTGGTATATTGTCTATATTGGCAAGCGCCATGGTTATGGTAGTTGCATTTTTCACATTTTGGAAGAGTTCCAGCGTAATGCTTGGCCGGTGTAGGGGCAGCAGGGGCGGTGATGGCATGGACAGCCACAATTTGTTGCTTCTTGGCTGAATCTTGAGCATGTTGACTTTTCTTTTTGTTCCAAAACTTTCTCTTCTTATCTCCCCTCTTTGACTGTTTAGGAGTGGGGTCATTATACCTTGACGGATACCCTGATCGACAAGAGATTGTGCCAAACGCTTGGCACTGTCGAGGGTGCTCGAATTTACAGATATGACCATTCCCTGGATCTGAGGGGATAGTCCCCAAATGTACCATTCCACCTTCTTGGCCTCGGGAGTAACCATTCACGGGCATAGAGTTGCCAGTTCGTTAAAGTGGGTAGTGTAGGTGGCAATATCGAAGCCTTTCATGGAGTGTTCCTAAAGTTCTTGTTCCAGTTTCTGCATCTTGCTCCTTGGGCAGTACTCTCCGCGAGCATCATAGCCTTCAAGTCTTCCCAACTCATAGCGTTTGCAACAGCCAGAGTCAAGGTTTTAACATGGCCATTCCACCACGACAAGGCCGAGTCCGCAAATGTACATGCTGCGTATTTGACTTTGAACTCATCTGGACATGCACAGATTTCGAAGATGGACTCAGTTTTCTCAAACTATCTTGTTAAAGTAATGATGCCACCATCGCCATGATAGCTCCTGGGCTTGCAGTTCATGAACTCCTTGTAAGAGCACACTCGTTGAGGCACCTGGTTATCTCCCAGATTGGAATTTCTTGTCCCGTTCTCGCTTCCATTGTCGTTTCCATTCGTGCCATTATTGTTGATTTGGGCCATAACGGAAGTTACCGCGACTGCTACTACAGCCTGAAACATCGCAGAGTCCATTTGTGGTGGTGGAGTTGTTGATGTGTTGTTGACACGTCTTCTCCCTCTTCATGGTGGCATATTTGTGCCATAAAGTGGAAGGTTGATTAGTCTTTGATAAGAGTCATGAATCGGTCATTACTGTAATGGGAATACTATGTTTGTATGTGTATCGGGTTTAGTTATTATTGAATGTTACTTGTACTTTATAAATGAAATTTACTATACTAAATAAGAATGAAAAGAAAAGGCATAGCAGATAACAACATCCAATAAAATGAAATACATATTCGTTTCATAGAGTACTAGTACATGATTTTAGTGAAAATTGACCGTTAAGAAAAAGGTCT